TTACTTTACGTTTATTACAGCTATTATAGCTTACTTAATAGTAGCTAGCACCGGCTAGCTATAATAACTATTAGCTTTTAGCTCTAAGTATAAAGGCCTTAATCCTCTTAGGTTTTAGCTTTACTGTCACAGAACCGGTCACATAATTGATAAGTGCTGGGTAAAATACCCGGAAAGGAAACCCAAAAATAACGGCATCAAAAAGGGCAGGAACCAAAAAGGGAAGGCCGTATCCGACAGCATCAAGGACCTTCAAGTAAAGCTAGCACGCTACGTGCGAGAAAAACGGACTTGAGGGAGACTCTGAAAAACCTATTGCCCTCGCCGCAATGTTCTACGACATTGACCCGGGTAAATCAGGCGAGGAGAGCCTCTACCATTTAAATGACACGAATTTCCCTGCTGGACCGTTTGATCGATCCCCTTCCAATTAAGGCAAAAGGCTGGCCAAAGGGGGCCCTTAGGTTGGCCAAAAGCTCTGTTGTTCGATCGACCCGCCGCGACTTCTCTGAATTCGAGCACATCATCGCTGAAGAGGAGGCTAAGGCTCGAGCCGACCTTCAAAATCATCAAAAACCGCCGCCTTCAACAGCTCCAGCAGCCATTAAAGTGACACGAATAACTTCAACAGCTATTGGCCTCGATGCTGTTGATCTACCTAGTTCTTATAAACCTGGCGGCAAGGCCCCTGGAGCTTACATGCGTTTTGCAACCGCAATTGAAGATGATGACGAAAATGACGGAATTACGGCCTGAACACCAAAATAGGGCAGCCAAGATGCCTCGTTTATTTGGGATAATGATATCACTACTGAATTTGGAGATAAAATGGATCAAGCCTTCCAAAAATTAACACAGAAAGCGGCCAAGATGGATAATATTATGCGACAGACAGTGCAGGCGATAGATATCTCTGAACAGTTTCAATTGAATTGATTGATTTGACTTGTTGCGACCGTACAGACAGCTTCTACATGATCCCCATACAAACATCTATGGGGGCCCGGTATCGGTTGTCGAAGCGACAAAGCCACAGCCAGCCACAAAATTGGGTGCCAACTCCGCCAGAGGGGGTGCTGATTAAGTGCACCCTTGGTCTAGCTTTTTTGGCTGGCTGTTACTCGGTGTAACACCAGATCGGAGCAGCTATCAAACTTTCAAAAGCCAACATTCGAACTATTAAAAAGTAAACTATTATGCAAGTAATGAAGCCTTACATAACTTCCCAACAGCGACTAGCGAGATTGATACAGGCGTCAAATAGTTGATCCGTTACGCACAGGGTCAACGAGACGGGAGTGGCTTTATTCCGAGGGTGGTTCTTTGCGCCGCCTTGGCTTCTCCTTTTGGAAATCCATTCGGTGCGCACTTGCTTCCAAAGTTTGAGAGCTAACATTGAATTGCTATGAATGAGATTATCGCCCAACTACCGTCCGTGACAAGGATCCGGGCACATGCAAACAGAGCTTGACTCGCAAAGAGGGCGGACTTGAGATTGGGACTTTGTCAAGGGTCCTCTTTTCTAGTCCCTGCCGCCCCGTCGACAGAAAAATCTCATGATATCCCCGGCAACTATGATTTGCCGCATGTCCGTAAGCGTAATACGCGAATGAGTTTGATGATTCCGTGTGCCGTCTCATCGGCTACATGGATGGTTACAAATACTTAGGTAGAAGGCCGCCTAATCTACACAGACTCTTTCTCTCCAATATGCTCGCCTCAGTTATCCGCTTGTTCCCGCAATACGCCGACCGTGTCATCTAGAACTTGATCGAGATTACCATCATGGAGCTCAGTCGCATTATTTACTATATACTTAGAGTCCTACAAGTCGCCTCGGGAACCATCGTTGCTGGCATTACGGGCTTCTTCCTTTACCAGTCAAACGCCAGCACATGGGATCTTGGTCGTTTCATTTACATTGAGGCGGCTGCCAGTTTGTCCTTGCTGATAGCAATTCTCTTCTTACTGCCCTACACCGACGCCTTTATCCAAATACCTTTCGATATCATCGTCAGCTTATTATGGTGGGTCACATTTGGCTTGCTATTCAATGTGAGTTGGGTCATCCCTTTCCGACCCCCAACACGCCAACTGACCAGTTCATGATAGTTCTTGGGATTCCCCTGTGAATGGGTTTTTGAATGGATGGACGTGTCACCATTCGATCAGCAGTGCGGAAAGCTCAAGGCTGACGTCGCCTTTTCATTCACGGCCGCGATAGTTTGGATGGCATCGGCCATTGTCAATATCCTAATCCTACGCCGCGAAGGCCGCCAGGAGGACACGGATGTGACGAACCATTATCGACAACGAGAGATGCGTCGCAATCCCAGCGTGGTGTAAAAAACAGACTTCATAATATGCATCCACACCGATTGGGCCACGAGTGATGATTTGGCGTTGGGGATAGACTGATACCAGAGCAAGCAGTAATGCGCTCACGCATCATGTATAATATTTGCTTGGCTGATTTTCTCGTTCATGTGATTTTGGGTTTCAGGGCAGGGAAGGGAAGCCTTTACACATTTGTTCTCACGCCGTAAACCCATAATGCTAATAGCCATGCTAAATTTAGTATTAGCCGCGTTATTCCCTATACCCTGGTCACCAGCATGTGATTGTTCTCAGCAGGCTGCGAATATCTGATGACTCTTTGACGTTGAATCATTCTGGTCCCATGCAAGATCTTCACATGATAAATCGCGCACTTCTTGTGCGCCTCGTGGGAACAGCCCAGTAAGCCCCACATCTCGCTGGCCGTTGACCCTTCAAATGTTCGAATGTTATCTTCGGGTTATGGCGCCGCCAGGGACATCGACCAGAGTTTTTGGTATTATGGGGAAAGAGAAAAACCCACTGGATGGTGTTTTGCGTTTGAAAGAGATTCTGACATCTATTCCGTACACCTTGGCTAGTTTAGAAACAGTAGTGGCTGCATTTTGAGAAAGGTTTTGGCATTTTCCAAGCGTGCAGCGTCCAAGCTGCGTGGTGTGCCTGGCAATCAGGTGCCGTTCGTGATCCACAATGTCCACGAGTCGTCTGGTTTGAGTACCTGCCAGGGGTCGTTCCAGAATGTGTTGGGGGTACGGCGGCCCGCTTCACCGATGGACCCTTTGAGAGATTAGCCCGACGGACACGGACAGATCTTCAGATAAAAGGGTCCTGACCTAGGTGAGTTGACCTAATCTCTCCGGCACGGGTTGGACAAATCCTTTCCGGTGGACGCTCATCAATGCCTTTTGCTGCACTTGTTGTTCGTGTCGGATTGATTCGTAGTCCGTTGCATCCTAGGATGGAATCTTCTGCGCTTGGGACAATGATGCATTATTGAGGGCACACGACGACTCTGAATCGGTCAATATTCTCCTGGCCGTGCATGTATAATGCCTGCATTTTTAGCCAGCACGACTTTGATAGTATCAAAGGAACCTGGCTATCAAAATCCGGCCTAGTGAAGGACCGAATCTTGATATTTTTCGCCGCCTTGGCCAACTCATCACCACCGCGTGCGATGTCGTATGCCCAAGGCTCAGACCATCAACCAATGCCCATCCACGCTTTGAGCCATGTACGGCACACAATCATGCCTTCATACATTACATAATCTAGGTACCTAGGTAGGTATCTACCACTGACGAGTGTTTGCTCTCATGCCAAAATCTGCATGTCTGTGGAGCATATCCATAGAATGCCCAAACTCAAGTCTTCGTCGTAAAGTCTCGCTTCACCGTCTTTTGGAACGAACAGCAATTGACAACCCTGACGCTTTGGGATGCAATATTCATGCGCCGTCCTCGAGTGTGTACACTTAGAAACCCGAAGTGCTACCTGCCGTCGCATGCAGAATAAGGGGACGCCAGAAGTGTGAACGCATCCGGTCCTGGAATTCGTAAATTACCTCAATAATAGTGATTTCGACCCGTTTACTAACCCATGGAATTTGTTCCATTGCCTTACTATCTGAGACGAGGTCTAATCCAAGGTACTCAAGGACGTGATCGCCATGTAAAAGTAGTCTGTCGAATGTGGATACAATATTGTATCGGGGCGACTCAATATTTCCACCGAGCATACGCTGCAATTATACGGCTAGTCTAGGCATAACTTCCTGTAAAGTTTCTCCGACCGACATGGTTCAACACGTCCTGCCGATCTATCTGCCATCCGAAGTAGGAAGGGATTCTCGTTACTTCCATCTATTAGTGTCATGTCGACAATTGTTGATAAAAGTAGTAGGACTAGTAAGAAAATAAAGTGAAGGAAGGGGTTCATTCGGACATGGAGCCAGATGTGACTTTCCCGCCAGATATTGCGGACATCCTTATCTATTAACCAAGGGACGACTATACAGATTCACGACTAGTCATAGGTCTCATGAGGTCAACCCGCAATGATGAGATATGCGTAAAATATGCTTCAAGTTGTACCCGACTAGAAAGTTGAATGAAATACGCCGTCTAACTCGGCAATACTAGATCGTTGTTGCAGATGCAGCACATTCAGCAGACCGGTGTTCTATCGCGGGAGGCGTTTAATGTAATCTTTCAGATAAATTTTGTATGTTGTGCCCTCAAGAAGTGTATTATTATATGTGTTTCTGTATAATACCTGCATGTAACGACGGATTCTGCAAATATCAACACGATTTCTTTGCTATAAGTTGTGCTATACAAGACCAGGCACCAGCACAAATACTGTATTTTCCTGTTCGGGATGTCGCAATCAATCAACATCCATTGACTTGACTTCTGATATGCTGCTGGCATCGGCAGCTGTTAACGTATTGAGACGCAGGAGTGGTGTTCTCCTGGCGAGTAAATCGCCGCCAGCATTCCGTGTTACAGATATATTTGCTTCAGTTGATAAAGGCACGAGCATCGCGGAGGAATCTTGGTCCCTGAGGCTTGTGAAATACAAGCGTACTACTCCCCCAGCACCAATATTGACATTTGCATCGCTCACTGTGAGCTCTGCGGTGAATACACCCGGAAGCGAGCAGCTATCAGACCATGCGACGAAGGTCATCCTGCCACTGGACCTTGAAGCAACAATTACAAGCACCGAGGATCTCTGGATGAGCAGTGGTATGCTATATAGATTGTTTGTGTTGAATTGATGTGCAGTCCAATATCAGTTGAGAAGGGCCGTGAAGGAGTGAAGGAGTGAATGAGTGCGCAGAATCAGGCACAGGGTATGTAATTCGTGGCATGGGGGATATGGGCAGGAGAAATTTGAGACTGCGCCCGTCTGAGTTTACGGATATCATGCGGTAAACTTGGAAGGCATATCCAGTGGCCAGCATGAGTTGAGAGATGCTTTGAGGCCAGGACATGCAATAAGATCTTAGACACGATTCCAGCACGGCCTTCAGATACATGCTACTATCTGATCTTACCCCATGAGCTCCGGTCAGTTTCAAACAGCATGTATTATGTGAGAAAATGCCGCATACAAGACATTTTGAACAATGATTCTTCCATCATGCTAACATCAGAAGTGTTGTTATGCTGACGCCAGTTCTTGGCGTTGAAGAGAAAGAGGACTAATTCATATTTTCAAACACGCTAAAATAATAAGAACTCTGGGTGCATACAACCAAATTGTGGATTGGGAGGGAAGAGCTGCACCAGGATCTATTGAGGAATTTGGTCACGACAGTCTGGCTTTAGCATGTAGCTCATGAGACAAGCAAGTAAGGGCGAGGTTTGTGTTGATAAAGAGACAAATGAACCTCACTGGCGTGTCGCCAATTC